GGACTAAAAGGGCAAAAGAATGAAAATGTTTAAAAAAAAAGTTTAATTTTATTTAGGGATATAGTAATATTATGTAGTCTTCTGTCAAACCACTTTGATTTCTATGGAAAGAAGCCATTCTCATTGCAGCAGTGACTCCCCTCTGATCAGAGGTTTCATCTGGAGAATGGGAGCTACATGACAAGTTCCCACTGGTGTGCTATCTTTTTAGTTTACGTTGACAGCAGTTTTTTAAAAACACTCCTGGCTGCTATAACCAGGAGAGTGTTTCCACTTGTTAAGCCGACTGTTGCTGCCTAATCACTTCCACACATTCTGGAAGGCAGCTCCTTGACCATGACATGTGCTTGATTATCTTCAGTGGAGTGCAGGAAATTAGAGGTCTAATAGACCCCTGGTGTCTCATTAAAGAGAAGCTGTCATTCCATATATGCTATCACGTAGGGGGCTGTTTATCTCCCTTTTTGATGGGAATAAAGCTTAGTAACAAGTTTTTAAAAATGAACACCCCAAAAACATTTTTTAAAAACACCCTGGTCTTGTGTATATGCACATACAAATGTAAATATGCATGAAGGGGACGATTGCAATGCAAATGGGTATCTCCATGCACTCCGGAGTGAAAGCAATAACTCTTGGGTCAGCATTCACAGTTATTTCTAAATTGATGGCCCTCAAAGGCGCCTAACCCTTTCGCTGCCAGAGCCATTTTTTGCACACGTTTAAAAAAATCATTTTAGGCCTGAAAATTACACAAAACCCCCAAAGAGAATAAAATAGTGGTAGTTCCAAATTTTTATGTCACACAATATTACCGCAAAGTCTAGGAAATGCAGAATTTCAATAATTCACTAAAGTAAATTTTAGGGCAAAGAAGCGCAATATATTTAATTTGTTTGGTAAAATATAAAAGATGAGGTTGCCCCGAGTAAATAGATACCCAACATGCCAAACGTTAAATTTGTGTGCACCTATGAAATGGCGACAAACTTCAGTACCCTATATTTTCTATAGCCCCCCTACAGGTCATCAGTTTAGCTTTACGGAGGTCTTAAGCTAGTGTTGCTCACTCCGGCATACATGGTGATATGTAACCTGTGTATCACAATCAATGTTTTCATACGTAGGCACCTTGACTTGTGTGTTTTACATTCAAACTTGTGTATATGTAAGGACCTCCAAACTTTTTCGGGGGGGGGGGGGGGGGGCTGTAGAGGGATGTTATGTGCTTGGGTGTAACTTTATTTTTTTTTTTTTTTTTTGCAATTTAAAAATTTTACTTAGTGTTACTAAACCCAGGACCCTGCATCCACTATATCCGGTCTCCCACAGTACACACAACATGCAATTATTTTAGCAAATATAAACTGCTAAATACCTTTTCTCATCAGCAGTTAGACTAGTCTTGTGTCTTCAGCAGAGCACTGGTTAAAGCTTGTAGAAGGAGTTTTGTTTCTGCTCTAGGAGAATGCAAAACCCCTGACCTCTGTCCGGACAGTGCTGAATGGCCCTGTGCTGATCACATGCACTCTCCCAAGGAAGAAAAAAAAAAAAAACCTCTCTAGCAATACACACCAACCTGAGCATGTGCAGAAGGACTATGGGTTCTCCGTCTCATCAGCGTGGACATTTGAACAAGAGGAGGGGCAGATAAGTCAGGATCAAACAGCCTTTTTACACAATGCAGAGTATTCAGTCCTAGCTCCACAGTAACTATAACAAACATGCATTACTGCATATACAGACTGATTTTACTGTTTTGGGTTTAGTAACACGTTATCTTTTTTTTTTTTTTTTTCATCACATAGGGGACACAAAGTCTGGGGGCTGTGGAAGCAATCGGGCTGTCCGAATGCTTTCACCTGACCGGCTGGATTGTGTATAATACAAACCCCCCCCCCCCCCCCCTTCGCTCATGGTTAGATTTGGGTGAAGAAGCGTGTCGTGCACAATTTTTAAGGCTCGCTACCTATTTATTCGATGCAACATCCTCTTATATTTTACCAAAACAATGTGTGATATATTGTGTTAGTGTATACTAAAATAAACTTCAGTGCTTTTTTGTTTTTTTCTTTGACAAACACCTTTCACTAATATCTTGTGACATAAGAAATTGCAGCTACCACAAATATTTACTCTCCAGAGTCTCTTTCAGAAAATATAATACATCTGTCACTGAAAGGCTTAAACGTAAACCTTCATTGAGGGAAATATATAGAATGCCATAGTTCTCCTTCTGAACATGGTAGTTGCCTGGCTGTCTCTGGCTTCACTATGGCCTCATTGACCTAAAACAAGCGTACAGCAAGTGATGTCAGTTCGTCAAAATTCCAGGCCTGCAGTCTTGTTTCATGTCAGACTAAAAGTAGAAGGAAAGGCTATACAATAACCTGTTAAATGTTGATTCCCCTTTCCTCTGATCTTCACTGCATATACTTTCTAATAAATTGTTTTCTGAATACTTTAAGGTTTTTCTGTGTGGTCACGTTACTGCAGCTCATTCCTGTCTGTGCTGCTGGTTGGTGTTAACTTCCTCCTGGTCATCAAAGCTCAGACCTATGGCTGCCAGCAGGATAACATCAGTTATATAGTGATATGTTAGTAGTGCACTGTCACTTTTTTTTTAAATAAAAAAAATAAGTGATCCAATCAAACAAGTGCACCATTACTGATATGATAAATATTAGATGTTATCCGCCTAATCAAAAACACAAGTAGTGCTATGTGCAGATATTTCACCTATAGCCTATTATACACTGCTCACAAAACTAAAGGAACACTTTTTGAGTATAGCATCAAGCCAAACTCCTGGAATATTGATCTGGTCAGTTTATTAGCAGAGGGGTTGTTAATCCATTTCAGTTGCTTTGGTGTTAATGAAATTAACAGGTGCACTAGATGGGCAACAATGAGAAGACCCCCCAAAACAGGAATGGCTTTTCAGGTGGAGGTCACTGACATTTTCCCTGCTCATCTTTTCTGACTTTTTTTCACTAGTTTTGCATTTGGCTAGGGTCAGTGTCACTCCTGGTAGTGTGAGGTGATACCTGGACCCTACATAAGGTCCTTAACCCATCAGCAGGACTGGTATTTGCTCCTTTGGAGGAGGAACGGGTCGAGCACTACCAGAGCCCTACAAAATGGCCTCCGCAGGCCACTGATGAATATCTCTGACCAAACAATCAGAAACAGACTTTATGAGGGTGGCCTGAGGGCCTGACATCCTCTGCTGGGCTCTGCTCACTGCCCAGCACCATAGAGCTGATTGGCATTTGCCATTGAACACCAGAATTGGCAGGTCTGCCACTGGCGCCCTGTGCTTTTCACAGATGAGAGCAGGTTCACCCTGAGCACACGTGACAGACATGAAAGGGACTGGAGAAGTCATGCTGCCTGTAACATTGTTCAGCATGACCATTTTGGTGGTGGGTGAGTGGTCTGGGGAGGCATATCCATGGAGGGACACACAGACCTCTATAGGCTAGACAATGGCACCCTGACTGCCATTAGGTATCCAGGATGAAATCCTTGGATCATTGTCAGACCCTACGCTGATGCAGTGGGTCCTGGGTTTCTCCTGGTGCAGGACAATGCCCGGCCTCATGTGGTGAGATTATGCAGGCAGTTCCTGGAGGATGAAGGGACTGATACTATTGAATAGTCACCACACTCGCTTGACCTAAATCCAATAGAACACCTCTGGGATATCATGTTTCGCTCCATCCGACGCCAGGTTGCACCTCAGACTGTCCAGGAGCTCAGTGATTCCCTGGTCCAGATCTGGGAGGAGAGGAAATACCCCAGGACACCATCCATTGTCTCATTAGGAGCATGCCCTGAAGTTGTCATGCATACATACAAGCACATGGGGGGCCATACAAACTACTGAGGACCATTCTGAGTTGCTGCAATGAAATTTCAACAAAATGAACTAGCCTGCTGCATAATTTTTTCACTTTGATTTTCGGGGTGTCTTTGAATTCAGTCCTCTGATGGAAATTGAAAATTATTAACCTACAAACGATGGGGCATTGTTACATTCCTAACACATTACCCAGTACATATCAGTATAGATATCCAGCATGAGATTTTTTCCCCATTGAGATCTGATGTGTTTTCAAAGTGTTCCTTTAATTTTTTTTTGAGCAGTGTATATACTCAAATCAACCAAAATAATTTCTCACAATCTAAAAACGAGTCCTTCAGATTAAAGTTCATATGTTAATGCATTTACTGTAAACAATTCAATATCTCTTCCGTGACACATATCTTGCAATAACATGCTGAGGTTTTCGTGCTCCAATCCCCAGTGCTGTCTTCCACCAATAGGTACAGTACTTGCTCACCTTCAGTTGTGGACCTAAAATCAAGTAGGTCACGTTTATACTTTATCTATGTGACTACGCTTTCAGCTTTAGCAGCTTCTTCCCGCTTGGTGTCCCTGTAAGAGACTGGTCCTTGCTGTTTTCCATGCGGTGTGGCCTGGTGAAGTGTGTGACCTGTCACACATCATAGGAGAACACACTGCACACTGACATGGGAGTTCAGTCACTTCAGAGCCTCTGTCCATGTGCACATAGCACTACTTGTGTTTTTGATTAGGAGGATAGCATATAGTATTTAGCACATTAGTAGTGGTGCACTTTGATTGGATCTCTTTTTTTTTTTATTTTTATATTATTTAAAGGGACAGCACATCACCATTTGCAATTCTAGTGTGTGAGTATAATATTAGAGTGGGAACAGCAGTCTCGTACCTTTTTTTATATTATATTTCTATTTTACTTAATTTTATTTTTTTTTTTTATTGCTGTTGCAGTTTATTTTGTAATTAATATTAGAAAGTCCTGTATAGCAGAGCACGAGGTATGCACACATAATTGCAGCTATATGGGATTCATCAAAGATGTTGGCCCTCTGCAGTGCACACATTGCTGGAACTTTGCAGTCACATAACTGCATAGAAAACCTATAAAAAAGAAAATGTATTCCAAAAGTGATTTTTTTTTTTTTTTGTGTGCAGAGGGGATCAAAGCAAAGGTAAAGCATAACTTAGCAGGTTATTGTATAGCCTTTCCTTCTAGTTTAAAGCATCAAAGTCACTGGATCACAATGTGTGCATGAAAGTGCTGTCTGAACATATGTACAGGATAGGTGAGTACAGAGGCATGACCTCATCTGTGTGCTGCTGCTTCACTGTCCAATCACAGGCCAGGTGAGGTCCTAGCCCAGGCTGTGTTGCTTAACTGCATTTCAGTCAACAGAGGGGTCCAGGATGTTGCAGAAATGTGTTGATTACAAATTCTTTGACAGCAAAACCAGTTTCCATACAGTAGAAGTATTACAGCAGTGCCTTTAGCTGTCTGCCTAGAGTTCAGCTTTAAATTCAATAAACATGTACAATAGTTCTGCTGCTGATTATACTCTGTTTTGGTTTCCTGCAGGTATCCGCAATGCTTGTATATGCTGGAGTTGCTACAGTATGAACATTTCCGCAAAGAGCTAGTGAATGCCCAGTGTGCTAAGTTTATTGACGAACAGCAAATATTGCACTGGCAACACTATTCCCGTAAGCGTACGAGACTTCAGCAAGCTCTGGCAGAGCAGCAACCACAGAACAACACCATTGGAAAGTGACACACCTACATAAGCTGTATTTACAACCCATATCCAAAATGTGCTGTTACAGAATGTAAATACCGGTGTCCATGAACTTTGCATCACTTTGTTTCCTGTGATTCTGTCAATATTCCTGTAAAGTTCTGTTTAGTGTGTGATGTCATTAGTGAAGATTGGTCAGATACTGTTTTGTGTATTATAATGCTTCTTTGTAGCACAAGATTCCATTACCTGCACATCATGAGTGATATGAAATATATGCCCTGAAAGGTTTTGGTAGAATATTGGTTGATCTTGTTCTGCCCTTTTTCATATTCTAAATTGATACTTCCAAATCAAAAATGTTAGATTTGGGTAGATGCTGGCAGCGTAACTTTCTCACCAGCTGTCTATACATCTTTGGTGTTCAAGTTTTAACATTGCTTAGCAGTCCTGTACTTTACAACATTTTGTGTTATGTAGAATAAGCATCAAATCCATCAAGGTGGAAGATGGGCTGCACCTCAAAATGATCTGTGCTTATGGGATGTGAGGATTCTACTGAACAGATTGCCACAGTGGGGTTGATTTACTAAAGGCAATAGACTGCAGTTGCGCCAAAGCTTCGTAAATGAGGTGAAATGTCACTTTGCAAGTACCCAATCACGTGCAAAGGAAGAAAAAAAAACAACGCAATTTTACTCTTAAAAGATTGGATGATGGATGTCAACAGAGCTTCCCCCTCTTTTACTAAGCTCTGGAGCAACTGCACTTGTGAAGAGCACAGTCAAACCCAGTGAGTCATTCTGCACACTGAAAAATGTGTTTTGTGTGGACAGACACAGTCTCCCACATTTTAGGTCTGTTATCTTGTACACCATACAGACAAGCATACGCTTAGTCTTGTGGGAGAAAGATGTTGTAAATGGCTTATGACAGAATACGTAGGGCATACATGACAGATCACACAAATTACTAAAACCAGCATGGGTTGCAGGGAAGAAAATCTCTCGATTCCCCCGTCAAAACAGTCAGAGTTGATGGGGGAATTTTTTCTGCAGAGCTATTGTGTTCTCCTGGCGGTGGGAGCCATCCCTGCTGGGAGAACACAGTGATTACTGCAATCAATTATAATAGCTGCTAGCAATAATCACATGTAAAATCCCAATGTAGCAATGTTGACTGATCAATCAACTTGGGCACATTCAGACTGCCCAGACATGGTTTGAACAGTCTATGGCCGACTTAGGGTATGTGGATGCTCCTTGTGTTTTTTTTATTTTTTTTTTTAAATAGACAACGTGGTATATTTAAGTTGCAAACCATTGTGAATACTTTGCGAAAGCTAACAATATGTTTTTTGCAGTGATTAACTGCTTCCTGTCAGTCCTATAGCAGAAATACTGCTACAGGACGGCACTGTTGTGCAAAATCATGTGTATATATACACGTGATTGTGCATTCCTGGGTAGGGGGCGCACGCTCCTTAACCGCGGCTATCAAACACCAGGTCCTGGTGATTTCTGATGGGGAAGAGAACTGTTTTGTTTACTAATAGTTCTCCTCTGTCAGCTTGTGCACACGGCTTTGGATGGCTGTGCACACCGACACGACCCCCTATGTAAAACACTCCCAGCACACAGTTAACCCTTTGATTGCCCCGTATGTTAACCCCTTCCTGCCCAGTGCCATTAGTACAGTGCCGGTGCTTTTTTTTTTTTAGCGCTGATCATTGTATTGGTGTCACTGGGAATGTCAGTGACACCAAGTCAGTTCCCCCCAGTGGCAAAGACATGCATCAGAATAAATTTTGGCCTAAATTAATGACGAAATTTGATTTTTTTTTCAATTTATTTTACTGGACTTGTTTAATAGCATTAAGGAAAAAATAGTGTTTTTTTTCTCAAAATTGTCTGTCTTTTTTATATATAGCACAAAAAATAAAAAACCGCACAGGCGATCAAATACCACTGACAGCTCAATTTGTGAGAGAAAAAGGACGTAAATTTAATTTGGGTGCAGTGTTGCATGACCGTGCAATTGTCAGTTAACGTAACACAGCACCGTAACAAAAAAAATGGCTTGTTCAGGAACGGGGGTAAATCCTCAGGAGGGCAAGTGGTTAAAATAGTTTAAAAGATCCACAGCAAGAAAAAAAAAACAATAGTGTCAAAAAACCATGGAAAAGATAAATTTTTTTTCAAGAGATATTTTAATGGCTTACTTCCTCTTTAGTAACCTATAATGTCCAAATTTAGGGTGTAACATGGTGCAAAGCTCCCTCTCCATGACAGTGTTCATGGGTTCTCCTCCCCTGCAGCCGCTTTCACTTTTACATTTTGTGTGGCACAGCTACGTCCTATTCATTCACAGAGATCTGTAAATGAATGAACTACAAGTCCTGTGTTCCGCTGTGGCAGATGGGCTTGTAGTTCTTAATGGAATGTGAAAGCCGTAATCCGCACACTCTATTGACACTTCCTCCAGCTCTCTAACTAAAAGCCTATGCACAAGTGCAGGCAGAGAGCTGGATGATGAGATTGCAGGAGCATAACATTGCACCCGCAATACAGGGATTGTGGCTACAATACTTTGCAGGCTCGTGTGGAAAAAAGAATTCACTTTTTTTTTCATGTAAAAATATGTACATTTGCTTTAAGGTGAACTTGGGCGTTAATCTAAACCCATATCCTAAACCGTAGCCTTCAGTTTTTGGTGAGAGGATGGATTTGAGGTAGAAAGGGGAGGAGCTTACATCTCAAGGTACCTTTTTAGAGGTTGGGTTAAGATTCATGTTGGAATAATAGTATCAGCTCAGGTGTTAAAGGCTATAACTAATGAAAGGAGAAAAAAAAAAAAGATACCAAAGTACTCCGCAGTCCTGTAATTGCATAAAAACAGAAGACAGTGGTGTACTTTGGTGCCTTCTGCTGTTTTTCTCGTTTACCAGATCAGCATATATACAGTACTGTATAATGGAAATTAAAACAGCAGTAGATACTAAAGTACTCGACTGGCTTCTATTTTTATATAATTGTAGGACACAGCCATTGGACACACTTCTTATACAAAAAATGAACCACATCCACAGTGTATATAAAGGGGTTGGGGATGCAAGGGTAACCTTTACCTGTTGTTTGATAAAAATAATGTATTTTCTCAATAAACCTGTGTGTGTTTACAAAATCTCTTCATTTCTTTAGAGTATTTCTACTTTTCCTGAGAGAAACATGGAAGCTGCCAATTTTGTTCTACTGATCTAATTCACTGCATTCTATCTGAGTAACTGACCTGCAACAAGTGTAGAGATCCGGAAAGTCAGAACCTCCTATCTGCGTACTTGTTCTGGAAACTACTGAAGCCAGAATAACAACCAGGTGCCTAGCATGTGCAGACTGAGTCAGCAATGGCAGGCTTTGTGTTTCCTTAAAGCATTATTATATCTGAAAGCAAATATTTATTATAATGCAGCTTACCAATTTTAAAATGTGATGCCTGCATTAGTTTTCTTTTTGTAGACTATTTTCACCTGATGATGTGGCCAGTGAAGCCAGCCATAGATAGAATCTTGGCCAGTTCAGCAGGGACCGTCTGAGATTCGATCCATGTTTGGGCAGGTTGGTTGTACGGAAGTTATTCCATCGATCGACTCCAGTACAACTTCAGTACAACCAACCTGTCCGACTTTTTTTTTATATCCGCTAGCAGTGATCACTGTGTTCTGTGGGCAAGTAGGGCTCCCTGCCGGCAGAACACAATAGTGCTATGGGAGGGATTCCCAGATTAAAACTGATGGGGGAAATCTAGCAATTTCTTTTCTTAGATTGTAAGCTCGAAAGAGCAGGGCCCTCGATCCCCTCATGTTTTGCATTGTATTGTATTGGTATTGTTCTGTCACATGTTCTGTCCCCCTCTGTAATGTACAGCGCTGAGCGAACCATTGGCGCTTTATAACTACTGTATAATAATAATAATACTTCCACCCACGGTGGTAGAAAAGATAGTTGCATAATATATGAGCTGTTTTTAGGTTGTTTTTTTAACAGAACAAGCTGCCCTACAGATGTAGCCATTAGGGAGTTGATACAAACCATTCACCACTGACAGGGGACCTCACAGTACTTAGATTTTCTTTATGTAAAACCTTTATCCTGAAAGGAAAATTGCTGTGAATGCTTATTAAATATTAGCTTGTATTTAGCTTCAGGTAATGTATTGACATTTGCTAGCATAACTAACACTCCTCTCCCACAGACTGACAATGCTGCTGTCTACATGTGCCTATGTGCTCCATCAACAGTGGGGGTACTTAATACATGAGGGGTGTTACTGGCCTAGGTCACCAGATGTAAACCAAGGGGGGGGGAAAGCATGAAAGTAAACCAATACAGCCACCACATCTAATGATTGGTAAGTTGCAATACATTCACCAGCCAGTTTATTAAGTACACTTTGTCGGGTTGGACCCCCTTTTCCCTTCAGTACTGCCTTAATTCTTCATGGCATAGATGCAACAAGGTGTTGGAAACATTCCTCAGAGATTTTGGTCCATGTTGATCTGAGTTACTGTTGCCTTTTTATCATCTCGAACCAGTCTTCCCATTCTCCTCTGGCCTCTGACATCAGCAAGATATTTCCACCCACACTACTGCCACTCACTGGATATTTTCTCTTTTTCAGACCATTCTCTGTAAACCCTAGAGATGGTTGTGTGTGAAAATCCCAGTAGATCAGCAGTTTTTGAAATACTCAGACCAGCCTGTCTGGCACCAACAACCATGCCATATTCAATGTCACTTTTATCCCCTTTCTTCCCCGTTCTGATTCTCTGAACGTCAAGTCATCTTCACCGCGTCTAGATGCCTAAATGCATTAAGTTGCTGCCAAGTGATTGGCTGATTAGCAGTTTGTGTTACCAAGCAATTGAATAGATGTATAAAGTGGCTGGTGAATGTATATTACATTTTTGGGTTTAATACCACTTTAAGGCCCTGTTCACATTATCCCATAGCAGGAACCAGCGTTCCCGCTACAAGATTTTGATTGTCACACAATTCTGCGTGTCACATAGAGCTGCCCATTCACTTGAATGAGCTGCTCTATGTGCATTTGTCACTCGAAAAGAAGCTACTGCTGCTTTTCAGGTGACATGTTTCACACAATTTATTTTAAAGGCTTGGTTTGCTGCGCAACAATCACGGCAGAATCAAATTGTGTTTGGGGTGCCATTGAATTATGGCGACTAACCGCGTGCCACATTTGCCATGTGGTTTGGAATTGTGAATGAAGCCTAAGACGGGTAGGCATCCCTTAACCTCCCTGGCGGTATTCCCAAGTGTAGCTAGGGGTAAAGTTTCAGTACCACAAGCGGTAACCCCGAGCTGCTCCGGGATCCCTCGATCACTTACCTTGTCCTGCGCTCCCGCGATGTCCCTCCTGCAGCGTCCCCTGTAATGTCATCCGGCGGATGCCGGCATCTGTCATCTGGGTTCCATCCTCTGCGAGCGTCAGGACGTACGGGGGACGGAACGGCGGGAAATTTGAAAATGACAAAAAGTGACATTCACTAAAATCACATAGTAAAACATTCCTGTATCAAAGCATTTCACATACATTTTGTCCGAGTGCTTTGTCCTGTGCCCTGCCTGCATTTTTACTGTTCTTTCTGCCTGGAAACTGAGAAACGTCCATGGCGTCCAAACAGCGATAGTAAATCAGAACCACTTGCAGAATTGAGTGATAATGATTCGTGGGGAAATTCATCATCAGACACTGAAAACAATTTTGCGACTTTTGCTGAGTGATGTGCGAACTTGGAGCTCTAGTTCAAATTTCTGTGTTTTTGGTTTGATTATATTATTGAATTAAATTTATTATATTATTATTTTTTATGATTATTTATTAAATTATGATTTCATGTTTCAAACCACCCTTCTGATTGGACAGTAAGCCACAGCACACCTTTCCTGCCACTGTTATACTGGAAACACTAGAAAATGTAATAGATGGCCTGATGGCCTTACAGTGCTGCCCTCCATCTTCCAGTTAGTACTGGTGTACAAGGAAGTATACAATGCATAACATAAAAGGTAGGTTTTGGCTATTCACACAAACTTTATTTAAATATACATTTCTTTACCAATCTTTTTATTAAAGTTTTGACAAGACCAAGGTATAAGAATGCAAAAGTACCATAATGAGGTAATGAGCACTAAAGTAATAGACATTGTGAGCTGTGTAAATCCACATGAATGTGCTACATTCCAATAAAGCAGACAAAGAGAAATCGTATCCCTTTGATAAAGTCACGTGACTAGTGACGAAACGCATGGGGAAGGAGTGTGCGGATGACGTCAGGACGTTGACATTCATCGGGATAGTGGCTTGTAGTACTCTGGAAATGGCTCTTGGAAAGACATTACAGCAGGCAATAGCATTCATTAAGTGGGCCGTGCTTTGCCTTGCATTACATTAGGGATGGTGTCTGTTTTGAGCATGTTCAGGACTCTACTGCTGAGATGATACTGCCATCTAGTGTTTAATCAGTACATCACTGGATCTTCATCATACCTGGTGCAAAATACACCTCCAGAACATGATTGTATTTCATATGTTTTAATTGATGAATAAAAGTTTAAAAGGATAGAGCACTATGTTGAGTTCTTTTTAATGAGGAATACGGCTGATACAAAGACGCTTATCAGGAGGGAGCATACTTTAGAGTCTTCATTCAGCAAGCTGATCTTCTGAGTCTATAAGGGACCAGAAGTGCAGTTAGACCGTAACATTGTATAATGTGAGGTGAGCAGATATATGGTGGAAGATGTCTTTGCACGGGAATTGATGACAGATGCACATAAATTAGGTTATCCAAAGGAGGGTTCACTGAATGAACACTTTATTGATTGAACTTGATTTTTTAATGGCTTTTTGTTTGATTCATATATATATATATATATATATATATACAGTTGTGGCCAAAATTATTCAACCCCAATGCTGTAAAGGGGTTTAGGGACTATAGTGTACATTTGGAATTGTATTCAGAATCAAATCCTACAAGGACGTTGTAACTACCCAAATGCAACTAAAATGACATCAATTGTTTATGTAATACAGTAGTAAATGGTTCTTATGTGGTTTCTTCATTGCCACAATTATTCAACCCCTTAAAGACTACCACTCTGAAGAACAGAGGTTCATACAGGTGCTTTCCATCAGGTATTGAAAACACCTGTGGATGTCACCGAGCAGCAATCAAGCATAATAAGCACCAATTAGGCAGCTTTAAAATGACTGTGATACTCAGCTCCTTCTAGACATTTACTGGTGTGGTTACAAACATGGTGAAGGCAAGAGAATGGTCCAGGAAGACAAGAGAAGAGGTGATTTCTCTTCACAGGAAGGGCAATGGCTATAAGAAGATTGCAAAGATGTTAAACATACCAAGAGACACCTTAGGAGCATCATTCGCAAATTCAAGGCAAAGGGCACTGTTGAAACGCTACCTGGTCGTGGCAGAAAGAAGATGCTGACTTCGACTGCTGTGCGCTACCTGAAGCGTAGAGTGGAGAGAAGTCCCCGTGTGACTGCTGAGGAACTGAGAAAAGATTTGTCAGATGTGGGTACAGAAGTTTCAGCCCAGACAATAAGACGCACACTGCGTAATGAAGGCCTCCGTGCCAGAACTCCCAGGCGTACCCCCTTGCTGTCTCCAAAGAATAAGAAGAGTCGACTGCAGTATGCCAAAAGCCATGTGGACAAACCACAAAAGTTGTGGGATAGTGTTCTGTGGACTGATGAAACAAAATTAGAACTGTTTGGGCCCATGGATCAACGCTATGTTTGGAGGAGGAAGAACAAGGCCTATGATGAAAAGAACACCTTGCCTACTGTGAAGCATGGTGGAGGGTCAATCATGCTTTGGGGCTGTTTTGCTTCTGCAGGTACAGGGAAGCTTCAGCGTGTGCAAGGTACCATGAATTCTCTTCAGTACCAGGAGATATTGGATGGAAACGTGATGCAGTCCGTCACACACCTGAG